AACCGGTGTGAGACCAAACCAGTTGCAATACGGATGGCCGATGCGTAATCCCCTCTCCTATCTGTTCCCCGAACGGTCACCTGGTCTGATGCCCAACATGCCTGGCTACAATGCCAAGTACGCACGCTTGCTCAAAGCTGTTATTGCAGCCATGAACAAGCGCCAGCATGCCATGATCAAACATGCTAACAAGTTGCGCAAAGAAGCAAAATTCGAAGTTAGGGATTATGTTTGGGTCAAAATGTCTGAGTTTTCTGATGAAGAGGGCGTATCACGAAAGCTTCTTCCATTGTACTATGACCCTTGGCAGATTCTGAAGGTGATTGGGGATGATTTTGGTCCTTCATATGTGATTGACGTGCCTCCTCACCTGCGCACGTATCCGGTCGCTCGTGCGTCCAAACTGTTCCCACACATTGATGATGAGACTTTTCCCTTCCGAGACCCTATGATACCTCGCTCTATTGACGACGTTCATGAGGTAGACAAAATCGTTTCTGACGAGGGAAGAGGGAGGAACAGACAGTACAAGGTTCACTTCCTCTATCACCCGTTGACTGAATTCTTCTGGATCGACCGAAAAGAGCTGCTAAAGAATGCTCCCCGTGTTGTGAACGCTTATGAACGACAGATCGCTGAGGGACAAACTGCTAAATTTGTTGCAAAAATGATTCCTCACGGACTTACTAAGTCTCTCTTTCTGATTTACTCCTACGATGCATTTTGTGCCAACTATGAATGAGTTACTCCCTCGAAGGGACCTCGCTCTTGAGAGGGGGGTAGTGTAATGACCCGCCAAAAACACAGACTGAGAACACTGCTGATTTCTAGGATTTGCCACCAGAATGAATGCCTTGCGGTGATTCCCACATTCTGTTGTGGTTTCCAAGTCCGTGTGTGTGCGTGCCTGCTGGTTTGCATGCCTGTCTGAGTGCTTGTTGGTTGAGTGTGTGTATGACCCGCAAGGGTACTTGTTGGTTGAAAGGCCCCGCAGGGCCGGTACTTACCTGTGGCCGTGACTTTGAGGGTTGCAGGGGGGGAAACACTCAAGTAGCGGGGGTAGGCCCGCGACACGTAGAACAGCGGGGAAAAACACTCAGGTAGCAGGTAGGCCGGTACCACTCAAGTAGTGGTAGAATTGTCGGGTACTGGAGGCCGAGCAGAAGAAGACAAAAGTTGGCATTTTTAGAGGCCCACTAGTGGTAGGATAGCGGTAGGCCGATACCAGTCCAAGTAGCCTTGGTCTAGGGCCTGTACGGCGGATAGCAGAGCCTGCAATGATGTTTCGCTCCGAAAGGGAGGAGGTACCGTTTGCTGGGAGGCCGCTCGGCCTAGGAAGTCACCGCCCAGGAGGCCGGTAGGCCGCTATATCTCCAGGAAGAGCAAAGAGCTCTTCCTCATTTGCGGTGTGCAAGGATTGGCGACATGCTGCTGGAGCACAGCGCTGCTTGGAGGTGAAGGGCCGTTGGAGCTCAGCCTGGCTATGGTGAGCAGTCCAGCTTGAGGAGGAGGAAGAAGGGGGCAAGGTAGGAGAGTGGCGAGGCACCTACCTGGCTATGGTGGACACCGTATTCAACACCTTGTTGGGTGCTGCATCTGGAAGGCCCCAGTTGGGGTAGCGCTACACCAAGGAAGCTCGAGGCAGAGTCAGGCATGGCAGACCGAGTCAGCGGCGGTATAGCGGCGTTGGGTAGTCCTTTGGACATCAACGCAGCACCATAGCTGCTTTGGGTAGTCCTTTGGACATCAGCGCATCACCATAGCTGCTTTGGGTTGTCCTTTGGACATCAGCGCAACACCATAGCTGCTTTGGGTTGTCTTTGGACAGGAGGGCAAGGCCCTCAGTAGTCCGCCATAGCCTATGCATGTGAGAGGAGGGTGAAGGAGGGTACCCATAGCTATGGTGGACTTGTTGTTGTTGTTGTTGTTGTTGTTGTTGTTGTTGTTGACTTGAGTCAGCAGTAAGAGGGAACTTCGGATATTGATTCTGGTTCATCCATTCATTGTTATGATTATTGTTAGGAGAAGAATAAGATTGGCGAAGTGAAGGAGGAGGAGGAAGGTGGAGAGAGAAGGGGGAATTGCCATTGGTCTTGCTGGTGCACATCTTCTTCTTCTTCTTCTTCTTCTTTATCTCTCCTCTGGTCTCTATCTCTTTGCAAGTGCTTTCATTTCTTTCACAATTGGGTGGCATTGTCTTTCAGAAAATGTAGAATTATGAAAGAAAATATTTTTGAATTACGGAAAAAAAAACGTTTTCGTTGAAATTTTGGAAGAAATAATTTGAAAAGAAGTTCGAAATAGGAATTGATTCAAATGAATTTAAATTTCAGAAACAGACTAATTAATTAAAGGAATTTCAAGAACATTTCGGAAGGAATTAGGAGTATATATAAAAGAGATTAATGCTAGAGTATTCAAGGAATTTCAAAGAGGAAAAGGAAATTTCGATTGCTTAATTTCGTAAAAATTAATTATTTTCAAGGTTCAAAAATAATATTTCAGAAGAAATTTCGAAATTGCAGAAAAGGGTGATTATTTCCGAATTAATTTCAAGAATTTATTCGAAAATAGTTGAAGCAATGAAAAAAAGCAAATTCAAATTTTCGAAAAAGTTCAAAAGGATTAATAAAAACGTAATCGAATTGCAAAAGGGAGTTCCAAAAAAATTTGGAAAGAAATAAAAAGTATTCCAAAAAGAGATGAATTATTTAAAGAAATTGTGAAAAGAAATTCGAAAATAATGAGCTTTCGAAGTATTAACTACTTAGTTTCAACGTATTTCAAAAGAAATTTCGAAGGGGCTGATCACAGATTGTTACAAAAGTATTTTGAAAAGATTTTAGGGATTAAAGTAATTAAGAAATTAACTAATATTTGATTGATGATAAACTAAGTGGGTGGACGGGGAGGTTCGC